TCATTCTTCCGTCCACAAATTTTCTGTTTTTTCCTAATAACTTTTTTTATGGTAGCCCAATTAAGTTCAAATTTGGTATGGTAGTTCAGTCGGCAAAAAGACATATTTTAACGCTAAGTTTGTTTCTATATGTCCTCTGGTTTGGAGCTGGGGTGGTGGGGTAGATTCATTAACTTTATATAAGAATGAATTGGCAAAGAGAGATGACTTCTGAAAATGTTCCCATTGTAAACTGAATACTGCAATGAATGAGTCCCTTGGGATTAATTAGCTTTCCTCCTGAAGAAAATCCAAAGCATTATCTTTATCTGTCACATTGAGATTAATTAACATGTCTGTCTGCAAATGAAGTTTGTTTTGAAGTTAAGTCCATTTGGAATGCTATGAACACTCTGAAATGTGGATTGAAGTATAGATGTTTTTACTTTATTTTTGTTGAAATACCCTACACAATGAGTTCTGATTTCATTGAATTCTTAAAACAAGAAATAGATTAAAGAAGATATGTTTTTTTTTATTTTTATTTATTTATTTATTTTTTTCTTGCTTCATGTAAATTCAAGAATATTATTAATTTTTAAGGTAGTAGGATAAAAACCTTATTCTATCATTACTGAAAAAGTTCTTATTATAAATTAAGAAGAAAATGACGAGAGAGAAGTACAATTAATCCCTTGGGATTAATTATCTGGTCTGCTGCAGAAAATTTAGAAGGCTTATCTTTATCTGTCACTTTAAGATTAATGAAAACCTTTGTCAGCAACTGCTGTTTGTTTTGAAGTTAAGGTAGTCCGATCCTCAGGTTCATAAAATTAGCAGTTAAGTAATCGAAAATACTCATAAAAATATCTCTGAATCCACAGAGGAACGTAAATTTACCCACGGTATGTCTTTAAAGTTAAACATTAAAGTTAATCATATTATATAGGGAAAATTGTCAAATCTCAAATATATATTCAGAAAAAGCAAATAGGAATATCAGCTATGCATTTTCTAATTGCAAGTTGATCAACAAATATATTTTGGTTGATAAACAATAAGTATCCAGGCATTCTGAGAAACTGTCATGATTTTTATACTTATTTGGTATTCTATGTCTTCTATTTCCTTCTTGTATTATGAAATACACAGGGTAAAAGGCTTTTGATACCATTGCAAGACATCATAAATCACTTCTAGTTTCATATCATTCTAATAAGCATTGGTATCTAAGGCTCGATTCAAGAAAATCTTACTTTTCTAAAATTGTATTTATTTTTTCCCTTTTATGGGGTACAAATGTCAACTTTTTATAAGACCTTTTCTAAGACTTCCATAAACCTTGAATCATATAAAGTTGAATAGGATAAAAATTGTTGCATGAAAAGTTTTCATTTTCAAGCCTCATATTGACACTTTTTAAATTAAATATTAATTTTTGGAGTTATCCTTCCTGGCTGAGGATCGGATATCCTTAAGGTCAAGCCTTCATGATATGTATTTGCATTCATTGAAGGCTGGCATTTCATATAACACAAGCTTCATTATTGTTTAGATATACATTCAGTGTTGAGTTGTTCTTTACTGCCTTATGTAAATACAAGGATATTATTTACAGGTTTTTGGATATTCAGGAATTATCTTGAAATTTTAAGAATACAGTTGCTGTTTCTTATTTGTCATATATTTTTTAATCATTCCATAAGCTGCACCCTTATAATTCTACCCCATGGCGGGGCCCTTGCTGACTGGTCAGTTTTCTAGTTGATACATGTTTCAAATTGTCACTCTACATGAGCCGTTGTGGGATCCCGATGTTTTTTCATATTAAAATATTCAGTTCATGTGGTTACTGACTATCATACCATTTCAAAGAACAATATTATGAGCTATAAACATGTATAAATGTTGATTATCAATACATGCCACTGAAATTTAAAAGTCTTAAGTTAAATTAAATTGCCCAGGATATTTTTTGTAAAGAAGGTCAAAGGTCAAGGTCAAGTGAATTGTAATGCTGATATTTTTATTATGCTCCTCTTCGAAGAAGGGAGGGCATACTGCTTTGCTGCTGTCTGTTGGTTGGTCTGTCGGTCCATTTAGTTTCTGTTCATTTTCTTCACAACCATTGCACATACTGAAATGAAATTTGGTATACAGACTTATCATAAAAATATCTAGGTCAAGTTCTGTTTTTGGATACAATCAAGCCACTTTTGACAGAGTTATGCCCCTTGGACTTAGAAAAAGGTTGTAGGTACTGAAATGAAATTTACTATACAGATTTATCAGATTAATATTTAGATCAAGTTCTGTTTTTGGTAGGATTGTGCCATTTTGACATTTATTTCCCTTGGACCCGGAAAAATTCCAATTATTTGCAGTTTCTGTTCATTTTCTTCACAGAGGTTGCACATACTGAAATGAAATTTAGTATACCTATTTATCAGATAAATATCTAGGTCAAGTTTTGTTTTGGATACGATCGCACCATTTTTGACAGAGTTATGCCCCTTGGACTTGGAAAAATCCCAATTATTTGCAGTTTTCATTCATTTTCTTCACAGAAGTTGTACATACTGAAATGAAATTTAGTATACAGATTTATCAGATGAATATCTAGGTCAAGTTCTGTTTTCTGTATAATTGTGCCATTTTTGACAGAGTTATGCCCTTTTTGACAAAGAAAAATTCCAATTTGGGGTGTGTGGGGCATTGGTCACATCTCTTGTTCATAATGATTTATGACAATCAGCACAATCAGTGCACATGCTAAATAGCGTAGAATTACCACTTAATTAAATGTCGACAATATGCTGTTTATTGGCACTTTTAACATTTTTGTAAAGTAGGTCAAAGGACAAGGCCAAGGGTCACAAGGTCGGTAACTATGACAATTTACAAATGCTATAGTGTGAAGCAAAACGTGTGTTAAATATCAAGTCCATATCTCTTTCAGTTCTTGAGATACAACATGCGACAGACAGACAGCTAGACAGACAGACGCTGGGTAAAGTGATCCTTTAGAATCTATATTGAAGCTGTAGATTTGTACTTTAAATAACAAATAAACATAACTCAATACGTGCTTTTTAGTTATTCTTTGTTTAAAACACTTTAAATACTCTTTTTAAAAAAAAATATGCGACAATGTTTTTCAGAAATTAAACAAAATGTTTAAAGGTTTATAAGCTCAAAAACATATCTGTTGTTAAGAAAATGTGATGTCTGAGAAATCATGCTTCTTTATTTCTTTTAATGACGCAGTCTGTGTGTACCTGGTATACCGTATTTGGCCGAGTATAATACAATGATGTAAAAAAAGAAAAAAACGCAGTTCGGATGTATTATACGCAACAGAAAAATATCTGAACTATGAAAATCACGGTAATTTGTTCGGCGCGAGGATTAGGTGTCAAAAATTTACTGTCCGTATCGCGGCAATCTGGAGAAAATTATTTATTCATTTATTTCAACAAAGCACAAGATAATGTTGCGTAAAAGTATTAACAGATTTTTTTTAAAGAATAGTTACGGTGATTTTGAAATTATGCGTCGCCATATTCTTAGATGAAATAATTTTATTTCAACAAAGCAAGAGATATTGTCGAAAGTTTTATCAGTTGTCATATTTAATTTTGGTTCTAGATAAAATTATCTTACAATATTTTAACAGGAAACGAAATTGAAACATCAAATTTCCCTCTTTGATCTTGCGGATATCACCATACCACTTTTATTAAAAGTTTTAGCATAATTTATATTTCATTTCTCAACTCTCAATTATTTAAACAAGAGGCCGATAAGTATAAGATAATGTAAAATTAAATTTAACAAGTGTTTAATTGTTTAAGTGCCGTAATCAACACATATGCTCAGACCCCAATTTTTAACAAAGAAAATAATCACAGCAATTAACATGGCATAAATAATCAGTGCTGTAACTGTAAAAACATTGCTTTGGCTAGGCATTTGTCCAGCGCACGTGTGTCACAACATTGGCTTCCTTTCATTGGGACGTATAGAGGGGTGTTAATATTGTTGCAGATTATCACTGAGTTATTTTAAACCTAAAATTAATATTTATTTTATTGTATTTCATTAAAAAATGATTTATTAAAACATGTGCAGTCCGGAAGCACGTGACATAGCTATGATGAACGTCTAAAAATAACATCGGTAATGGCCCCCCCCCCGGAGACAATCAACATGCAGTCATGTTATTTGGGCAAGACATTTTTAAGAAGCATACCTTCCAACAATAACTTTCCGAAGTTTAAAATATGGCAATTAACAAAAGAAATTGCATATATAGATAATCTCTCATATGATAGCCGTGTTTCACCTGAAAGAAAAACTTGCCAAAATCCCATTGTGATGTAAAATACGCATCCCTTTCTCACAGAAATTTATTTTAGGAAAAAAGTGCGTATTGTATTCCCCTAATTACGGTATTCAAGATCAATAGACAAAAAAATTCCTTTCTTTTGAGTGCACCATATGCCAAGGGTTCATGAGGGGAGTAGCATATCAGAAATTCTTGGCTAGCGAAGATGCTCAAAAAACCAGTGTAGCCAATATGAATATTTACATATATAGCTCTCTCTATGATCACAAAAAGTGTCGTTATCTTGAATATTTATGCCTCTCTATTTTGACGTCATATTCAGTCAGTGGCAAGTTTTGTTTCCATCGCAATTGAAATCAACAACTGACGTCAACAGAATACAAGAAATATTTCCTATACTGCGATTGGATATTGAAAGCTTGCCATAAAGTTCATCATCCGACTATGCTTTACTCGCATTGGTCAATATTTTAATGAGCTACAAAGAATTCTTTCCTCGTTCAACCACGGCCAGATGGGAGAGGAGCGTACATTTTGGCCGTGGTTTGCGACGAAACCCCCCCCCCCCCCCCCAGTAATTGTATTATCATTTTAATACATGCACACACATACATGTATATATTGTCATCATAATTATGGAAAAAAATTTACATTGAGTACTTTTCCATTATAGGTTTAAAATGGATGAATGTTAGCACTCCCTTGATGCTTAATGATCAACTGAAAGGAAAACTGGTTCTCCTAGATTTCTTCACATATTGTTGTATCAACTGCCTTCATGTTTTACCAGACTTGGCTGCTTTAGAAGAGCAGTATACAGTCCAGGATGGCGTGGTTGTTGTAGGGGTTCATTCTGCAAAATTTGAAAATGAAAAAGTCTCAGCAAACATTCTTAGTGCCATTTTACGTTACAATATCGACCACCCTGTTGTGAATGATAATGATGCTAGTCTGTGGAGTGAGTTGATGATACAGTGTTGGCCAACCATTGTGTTACTTAGTCCAAGTGGATGTATTCTCCACTTCTTTGTGGGTGAGGGCCACAGAGACAGACTTATGGAGTTCGTGCATCAGTGTGTGCTGTACTATAAAGAGAAGGGCATGCTTAGTAACCATGATATACCACTAGATTTGGAGAAAAGAAAGGGAAGTAACACCCCTCTAAAGTTCCCTGGTAAGGTGTGTGTCAGTGACTCAGGGCAGGAAATAGTTGTCAGTGATACTGGACACCACAGAATCCTAGTTCTGTCCAAGGAAGGAATTGTTCAGGTACCTTATTGACACATGACACACTTTGAAAAAAAAATTTTGACTTTCAATTTTCAAAGAACTAAAATTCAATGTACTAATTTAGGACTTCATTTTACTTTTTACTACATTTAAAGTTTTCTTATTGTTCTTAAACATGACCTTTATGGGTATGAGAAATGTGGCAAAATGAAGTTCAAGTTTTTATGCTACGATAATTGTAAATTATTTTCCTGCACAATACAATTTTTTTTTTAGTTCACCTGAGCCGAAGGCTCAAGTGAACTTTTCTGATCAAAATGTGTCTGCTTTCTGTCGTCGTTGGCATCATTGGTGTCATAAACTTTTCACATTTTCTTCTTCTTCTCAAGAACCGCTGGACCAATTTCAACCAAACTTAGTACAAAGTATCCTTGGGTAAAGGGGATTCAAATTTGTTCAAATGAAGGGCCATGCCCTCTCCCAAGGGGAGATAATTGTAAATAAGTGAAAAATTATTGGCATTTTTAAAAAATTCTTCTTCTCAAGATCCATAGGGACAGGAAAGATGAAACTCATGTGGAATCATCCTCATGTAGTGTACACTCAAGTTTCTTCAAATCATGACCCCCGGGGCAAGGGTGGGGCCACAATGGCCGATCAAAGTTTTACATTTTCTTTTCAAGATCCATAGAGACAGGAAAGATGAAACTCATGTTGAATTATCCTCAGATGGGGTACATTCAAATTTGTTAAAGTCATGACCACTGGGGGTAGGGTGGGGCCTCAACAGCCGATCAAAGTTTTACATAGGAATATGTAGGAAAATCTTAAAAAATCTTCTTCTCAAGATCCATAGGGATAGGAAAGATGAAACTCATGTGGAATCATCCTCAGGTAGTGTACATTCAAGTTTGTTCAAATCATGACCCCCGGGGCAAGGGTGGGGCCACAATGGCCGATCAAAGTTTTACATAGGAATACTGTAAACGTATTACATTTGGCTGTGTATTCATTTTAGCGCCTTTCGCGGAAAGCAGCCTCTGCTAAATTAAGTACATCGCTAAATGCTTTGTGTATAAAGGTTTCTGTAATGCACATTCAAAAAGCGCTAAATCAAATCTACGCCAACTTGTTGAAAATTCAATTTCCGCCAAATATCGTACACGCCAAATATAATACATTTACAGTATATAGGAAAAATCTTTAAAAATCTTCTTCTCAAGATCCATAGGGACAGGACAGATGAAATTCATGTGGAATCATCCTCAGATAGTGTACACTCAAGTTTGTTCAAATCATGACCCCCGGGGCCTCAATGGCCGGTCAAAGTTTTACAAAGGAATACATAGGAAATACATCTGTTTCTAAGAAATAGCAAAGCCATGATTAGTGATATTTATATGGAAGCATCCTCAGGTAGGTAGTGTAGAATTAAAGGTGTTCAAATCATAACCTCAAAGGGTATTAAAGGGTCTCAATGGTGGATCAAAGTTTTACATAGGAAAATAAAGGGAAAAATCTCAATAGCAGAAAAGCTACTGTAGGATCAACATTGTTCATGGGGATCCATTGTTTGTGGATTTCGTGGGTCACCCTTACCCATGAATTTACATCCCCTGAGTGTTTATTTTGTTAGCATATTGGTTCATTGAACCATTGTATTTGCGAGTTACCTACAAAATTATGTCCCCATGAACTGGTCAAATTTTGCTTACCCACGAACTTTGGCTCCCATGAATGAAAATGATTCCACAGTATGTTAAGTCATATTGACATGTAAGCATCCTCAAGTATTGAAGATTCAAAGAACGAGTGCACTTATGGGCCCCAGTAAAATGTGAAAAAATAAACAATCAAATTAAGCAAATTTTTTCATCCCAAATCATTAATTGATATCTAAACCGTGCGATTCAACAAGTTTTACCACTGAAATTCACGAATATACAAAGAACAAAACCATAGAATGCGGCAGAGGTCAGCCGACATTTGTAATTTTCTATAGTAAGTCGAGAACAGTCATACGAGGGGTGATCAAAAAGTTCGCAAACTATCTCTATATCTACAATACCACAATTCAGATTAGAATGAAATTCGGTACACACATAGCCATATACAAGGTCTATAAATAGCATATGCTGAATAAAGTTTCTCTCCTTGTTTGTGACGTCACAATGTGAAAATGACGTCACTATTTAGGTCACTTGTGACGAAAAATGGTTGTCTCAGTCGAACTCGTTCAACAAACGACTGTACAATTTATTGTAATATCTTAGAAATCCCTCTACAGTATCATATAATAATTTGTACACAGTTTATTGAGATAAATGACTTCCTTTAAATTCAATTAATGATTGGATTAATCGTTTTAGTGAAGGAAGTCTGATGGTTAAAAATGATACTTGTTATCTTGCCCAGTGAAAGAAAGTTTGAAAAGATATGTATTTTTAATTAAGCAATTTGCTATCAAAGACCTCCAATTAGCACTTTGAAAAATAGTTGAATATTTGAACAATGATATTAGTATTAAATATCTAAGATATCGTTTACGTTAGATTTTAAACATATTAGATATGATAAAAAGGATGCACCCATTCTGTATCCACCTTGAATAAAGGTCTCTCCTGAGACAGAAGATTTGTGTTTTAATGGTCGCCATGCTTATTTTTGGAAAGGATGTTATTATCCACCAATTCTGTTGCCGAGATATGACCATTTCTGACAAATTAACTGTTCTTGTCATAAAAATTAACTCACATGGAAAGAAATATAAAACTCGGAAAAGTCTTTTAACTTTTGTGACAGAACGCTACGGAGGGGGTCACGTGACCGCCAGTATCACGTGATTCGCGCATGCGCAGAACGGTGGTTGATGTGCATTAAAATCGGGGAGGATTAATTTAAAATATAATCAACATTAAAACCAAATATTGTATCTTGTATGGAAGTTATTCAATTAGTTTGCAAACTTTTTGATCACCCCTTGTACATTTCGAAGCTTTCGTTTACTATGAGCCTAACTTTGTACAAACTTGTGCGAATGACAAAAGACGCATAATACATTTATATAACTTGTGTGAAAGTAGGAAATTTGTACACAATTAGGCTGGTTCTTAAAGTGACCCATGTTGAACCCACATGTGGAATAAATTATTTAAAATACCTATAGTCATGTGAGTTCTACCCAGGTAAACATTCCTCAAAAGTGCTCACTGTAAAACAAAGTAGGCTTTGTATCATTTAGTCAAAGTTGCGCTGCTTAGAAATATTTGTATGTATTTATTTTACACTGGAGGGTAAAGAGAGTTTAGTGCCATTCATAAAAGTGTCAAACATTTTTAACATTTATGCAAGACAATGAAACAGATATTGAAAGCCACCTAAACACTCCTTTAGATTTCAAATTCAATAAAACTTTTATTGTATATATTTTTTCAAATGCAAGAGTACCAATATCTTAGTTTGATTATTATGGCTACAGGCATCTGCACAACTTCATTCAATTTTTTGAAAACAGATTTAGCACAAAAAGTTACATTTTACAAACGCACCCGACTATGATCCACCATCAGATTGTTCAAATGTCGATTTAAATATCTCTTTGCCTTGATTTACATAAAAGAAACTAAAAGAAGGTTCAGTACGACTTTTCCGGATTTAGGGTATCCATAGGCATTTAAAAATATTCAATTGTTTCAAATCCATGCTGATTTAGGTGATGCTTGTGACATGACCCGGCGAGATTTCCTTTGAAGTCAAGCATACTGTAACTGCGATGCAGAACACTTTTTGCGGGCGTTTCTTATGCAAATGAGCAGAAACTGTACTGTATCTGCAAAATATCAAAGATACAGTATGGTTTATTTTTAGCCATGACGGAAAGCTGTATCTGTATATACAGACACAAAATCGTTCAATTCGCATGATGGCACTGTTAGTATTTACTCAAAATTTGAGGTGAATTAAGAATAAATTTTACAACGTTAATTTGTTTGTGTCGGATTCAAAAATTTAAGAAAAGAGGGAATGGGGCAGTTCACAAATGACTTCTTTGAACACCCCCCCCCCCCCCCCAAAAAAAAATCAGTGTAAAACCGTATTTCTTGGGGTTAGATTTATATCCAACCAAGACACTATGTGCGTGATATCGTTACTTGTTGATAAAATAAGGAGGGAGCAAAAAGCATTTTTGTTTCAAAAATATTCCTGCACGATTCTTATATATCAAAATGTTTTGCATGAATTAAGTCGAGTCTTAAATTTAGAAAAAATGTCAGCAAGAGCTGAATAGAGAAAAAAAAGCACTACGTAATGAAATCTTAATTTAATTTTTTTGGAAAACAAATTATATTATGCATGCCCTAAATAATTATTTTAAAATGATAAATACCTGCACGTCCGCCTCAATTGGCATTTCAGTTGTGAATGCTTAAAATGGGATACTAAATCAGCTTTCTGCAAAATCTTCTGATTGGTTAAGAGAGATGTACCCAAATACTCATGTAAATTAGTGAGGTCATAAGAAAGGTCATGTCACAAGTCATTAGAATACTCGTTTCCTACTTTATCCTAGATTCAGGTCGGGGCCCGGCCCGAGCTATCGCTCTCGCCTCAAGCCCCGCCCTGTATCTCCGATACAGTAGGAAACTCGTACTCTAAATAATACCAAATGTGCTTTTTTATTAAAAATATCAACTAGTATCTAACTATTTCCAAAAGAAAATGATTTGGTAATATATTCTTAAGTAAAATGGCACATAAAAAGGGTCCATTAAGCATTGCTTAAGTGCACTTGCCCTTTGTTCAAATCATTGGTTTTGTAAAGCTTCTTTGGACAAAGTGCAGTAACTTGTCTTTTGTTGCTTATAAGGTCAGCGATATGGTCCCTAAGACTCTCTTTTTTAAAACCTTTATTCATTTCCAAGACTATTTCAGAATATGGTGATGCTTTATACCCCAATTTTAGTGGAAATATCATCTACCCCCCTTATTTCAAGAGCTAGAATTAGGGATATTTTACTAAAGTGTATTTGGCACTGGAATTAAAATGATTAATCAATTGCCATTGAATTGTTCTTCATATTAAACAAAGATTATATGGTTAAAATGCATTAATATTAAATAGTTGTAAAATGTAGGCAGGAATCGGGAGTTACCAGGCCTAGTTCTTTATGCATTTTCACTGTATAATCAATAGAACCCCGCCCTAATGCCAGAACCCCTGACCCTGAGGTCATGAAATTCAGAATTTTGGAAGAGACAGCCTTATTCAACATTACTATGAACGTAGTTAGTTTATTTAATACCCAGGACAGAGAAGAAGATTTGTAATGTGTAGGGGGACGGATTAGAGCAAAACCGGCCTCCCTACAACACTCAGGGATCAGGTCTGATAAGAATCAGACCTTAGGGATAGAACTATGACTAATGTGTGCTGCCAAAATATACAAATATGCGCAACGTATACTGTATAGGGGATTAATTTCACGGGTTGTAATTTTCGCGTTTTTCTCTCATCTGACACGATCGCGGTTTCTTGAATTCGCGGAATTGGTATATAATAAAAGTTACCTCCCTTGTCTATATATCTTCATGTTAACGACATTCATCAGCGTCAGGTCTTTATTTCAACAGGGTAGGTTAATTTAAAATTGTTAGATTGAATAAATAATTAATTAATCAAGGGCAGTTATTAAAAGTCCTTCATTCTAAAATGACTTTCCTATATGTTATTATGATGAGTGCATGTGCACTTAAGATCTTCAATACAACGCGGCGAAAAACCACTGGACGGAAATAGATGTGTTTATGTAGTTCGACGAAATAATATCCTTCCAAATCTTCAGTAAGTTTGATATTTATCTGAAAGATTTTTTCTTATCAAAACCAAAATCTAGAAAAAAATCAAATATGCATGATTATGCAGGTAACAAATACACATGGTAACATTAGTTACGCACGGGTAATCAAAACCCACGGCCCACGTGTTTTGATTGATGAAACATGTAGAGTTGGCTATTAAAACAGTTTTGGAACAAACACAAGTTATTTATCTGCCGATTTTAATTAAAGTAAAGCGTGATAATTATAATAATTGAATGATAAGTACTACCCGTAATTACTGAAATGACCATGTATTGACGATACATGTGTATAAACCTATCGTAGTCTATTCCTAAATTTCAAAATAAAATATGGAGATTATTTTATAAAAAATTATTCACTGTTTCTTGAATTCACGGATTTATCAACACCGTGAATATAGCGAATATTAACACCGCGAGTTATTTTCCCCCTATACAGTATACAGACTAAATATATTCAACGTATTTACAAAACATGCTAAGAAATCATACTAAGGTAACAAAACAGCAGACGAAAACCAAACCAGTGCTCTACCACATAGACAGACACAATAGAACAAGACACAGGGTCCCACACTTTACAAACACGGTAAAGCAACAGTCATACACTTAGTTAGTATGACCCAGATTCCAGCACCCTCAATAGGCCACGAATCAACAAAATTAATAAACAGGACAAAACAGTCCAACAACCCTATTGTCTAATAATAGTTAGATACGGGTGTTGCTAAAACGCGGAACGGAAAACGGAACGGAAAGCAGAATGGAACAGAAAACGGAAAATATTATTTTCTATTAAATCATTTA